CTTGATGGATGATTGTTTATAATAGATACTATCACCAATCTGATACATCTCTCACTTGGATATTAATCTTCGTTGTCATGCCATTCTGGCCATTATTAACAAAAATATGTATGGCTACATCGTATAAGTTTAAGGAATACAAATAATCGATTTGGTAGGCTTGCTAAGGACAGTAAGGTTGGTTAAAGTTCACATCCAGGACACAAAGATATATTTGGTTTTTGTTCACAGCCATATCTATGCAGATACCATTAAGAGAAACAATGTAGACATTATTAGGATCCTAGAAGAAGAAGAGATGGAGAAAGGAGCAGAAAGTTTATTTAAAGAAATAATGACCAAGAACTTCCCAAATCTGGGGAGAGATGTGAATATCCAAGGTCATAAAACTCATACTTAAAGAATTCCTCTCAAGGCACATAATAACAAATCTGCCAAAACTTAAAGACAAAGAGAGAATCTTAAAAAGCAACAAAAGAAAAGAAGCTTGTGACTTAAAAAGGAATCCTCATAAGACACTCAACAGACTTTTCAGGAGAAACTTTGCAGGCCAGGAGAGAGTGGAATGATATCATCAAGCTGCTGAAAGAAAAATAACTACCAACTCAGAATACTTTACTCAGCACAGTTTCTTTCACAAATTAAGGTGAGATAAAGATTTTCCCAAACAAACAAAAGCTGAGGGAGCTCATCAAACACTATATCTGCTTTGCAAGAGATACTGAAAGGATTTCTTCAAGCTAAAATAAAAGGATGCTAATTAATTACATGAAAACATAAGAAAACACATAACACACTGATAATACTCAGAATACTCTAATACTCTAATAGGATGGTGTGTTAACCACTTACCTCTAGTAAAGGTTAAAGTACAAAAGCATTTAAAATTCCTATAGCTACAATAATTTGTTAATGGATATACAGCATAAAAAGAGGTAAATCGTGATATCAAAAACAAAATGTGGGGTGAGAAAGTAAAAAGGTAGAGTTTTTGTATGTGATCAAAATTATCACCTTAAAGTAGAATGTTATATCTATAAGATATTTTATCTAAGTCTCATGGTAACCAAAAAGCAAAGCCAATAGTGGATACTAAATAAATAAATAAGTAAATAAGTAAATAAGTAAATAGTAAATAAATAAATAAAAAGTATAAAATAAATATCTGTGAGTCCATACTGACATAAATAAGCAATTAAATTAAAAATATTAAATATATTTAATGTAGAATTTTTAAATGTTTAGAATACTATGGAGACACTATCAAACTTAAGAATGCCAAAAATCCTCTGGGACTGCTGGATTTTAAAATAGAAAAGACTAACCATATGCTGAGAGACTTATTTCAACCTTAAGGATGCAATAGACTGAAAGTGAAGGGATGAAAAAAGTACTTCGAACAAGTGGAAATGAAGAAATATCATGGGTAATATATCAGATAAAATGGACTTTAATTTAACTTTAATTACCTTCTTTAGCAAAGAAGGTAATTATAGAATGATGAAGAAGAGACATTATACCTGATATCACAGTAATACGAAAGATCATAAAAGACAACTATGAACAATTATACACCCAGGAACTGGATAACCTAGAATAAATGGATAAATTCCTAGAAATGTACACTCACTAAGATGGAATCATGAAGAAATAGAAAATCTAAACAAAAAAATAACAAGTAAGGAGATTGAATAAATAATTGAAAACCTCCTACCAAAGCAAAACCAAGAGCCAGATGGTCTCCCTGGTGAATTCTACCAAATAGGTAAGAAATAATTAATGCTAAACCTTCTTAAACTTTTCCAAAACTTGAAGAGAGGGAATGCTCTCAAATACATTTTATGAGGTCAGAATTACCCTCACACTCTTGTCAGCTAAGAACACTACAAGAAAAGAACTACAGGCCAATATGTCTGATGAATGAATAGAGATGCAAAAAAATTTCAACAAAATTCTAGCAAATTTAATTTAACAGCAAATTAGAAGGATCATATACCATGATCAAGTGGGATTTATCAGTGGGATGCAGAGATAGTTCAACATGCACTAATCAATAAATGTAATACAGCAGATTGATAGAACACAAGAAAAAAATCATTATCATCTCAATAGATTCAGAAAAAGTATTTGAAAAATGTCAGCATCCTTTCATGATTAAAAATAGGACATAGTATGAATTGCAAAGAGTTATGAGGGAACTTTTGGGGGTGATGAAAATGCTCTATAACTTGGTCATGGTGGTGGTTACGCAACTGTATTATTTTTTGAAAGTTATTGAACTGTAGTCTTAAAATGTGTCCAATTTATTGTGGGCAAATTATACTACAAAAGAATCGATTAATAAAAGAAAATTGAAACAAGAACTAGTTTCAACTGTGATCTTCTAGGCTCTGCCCCTGAAACATTTTCCATTAAATAAACCAGATTTAGTTTTGTATCAACACGAGAACCCAGTGATTTTTAAATTCCTACAGAGGTTGAATAAACTGGTGTTGTAAAAAATGGAATTCTACTCAGCAACTAAAGGAACAGACTATTGATACATGTAAAAACTGGGATAGACTTAGTAGGATCTTGCTTTGGGGAAAAAAGACAAATCTAAGAAGTTACATATTATATAATTTCATCTTTGTCCTCTGAATAACTCAATTATAGAGATGGAGAAAAGGCTACTGGTCACCAGAAGGCAGAGATGAAGTTGGGAGAGCATGGATGTGACTAATAAGGAGTAATACAAGGGAGTTCCTTTATGGTGGTGGAACATTTCTGTATCCTGATTGTGGTAGTGGTTACTCGAATCCATACAAGGGGTCAAATTGCACAGATCTACACACACACACAACACAACACAACACAAACATGCAGTGCATGTAAACTAATGAAAGCTGAATAACAGTCATAATCTAGTTAACATTATTATACCAATGTCAATATCCTGGTTTTGCTATTGGGCTACAGTTGTCTAATATCTCATCATGGCAGGAGCTGATGGATTTCAAGGGACTCTGTGCATTATTTTAGCAATTTCCTGTGAATCTATAATAATTTTAATTTTTTAAATTAAATAAATTCTTAAAAGCATGATCATAAGTTAATACATATCTGGGAATTCTAAAGTTGTACTTTCTTGAAGTGCAAGCCTATTAACAGTAATTCTTACAGATTTTATTTTAATTTATTAAAAACAAAGACATCTTGAGTTAGAAGAACCCAAGGTAATTTAAATTTCTATTAAGTAATAGATCATTCTTATATTAAATAACATTTTATTAAACAATAATCTCTTAAATAAATTAAAAATATCCTTTTGTTTGTTTCCATACAATATTCATAAACACTGATTATTTAAAGGGACTCAACTATTTTAAAAGGGGATAGTAAACTTTACTGTGATGTTCATAAATCTTTATGAACTCAAATCCTTAAAACTAATATGTTACCTAGAATTATCATTAGTAAAATTTTCAATAACATTAATTATGTACACCTTTATAGCAGAGACTTCTTTCCCCTGTGCCCTGGGAAATGTATAATCTCTGATGGGAAATTATCATTTGTTGTCAAAATTGAAGTGCAAACACAGACATCAGTTTCCTCCCTGAAGAGTTTATCATGATGAGAATGTCCTAGGGGAGACCTACAACTGGATATCTAATCAGGTCCAAAAGAATTATAAGCCTTAGGCAAATGCCATGTGTTCTATAACATGTTGGCTCACATGTCAAGTCTGCGGTTTCCTTTTACACTCTCTTAGTAAATCTATAAACAGAGGTTTGATCTACACCACAGAATGACTCTTGGATCATCCAGACTTTGAAATCTATGCTGTGACTCTTTTGCTAATGAAAGGAGATTATCTGACTACAACTGCTCAGGTTTGATATTGGAAAAGCCAGTTTTTCTTCCAGGGCAATAGAGGTGAAAGACACATAAAGGATCAGCACTGAGTTCTCTTAATGGGAGGAGAATGAGTTAATCAGTTTCCTATTTTTTTCTCACTCTCTCTGTTGCTGGAAAATGAGGGCACATATTCGTATTGAATAATAAGAAGTATGGAGTGCTAACTCTACTGCAAACATTATTGTCAGCACACCTCTGGGGGCTTTGCCTCTCAGTCTGGTAGCACACAGCTATAGCAGTTCCAAGTGACACATCAGAATACAGCAACATCAGAGGAAGAAGAGGAGATTTTTCTCTTTCTCAAGAAAAAAATTTTAATTGAAGTGTACTATATACATAAAAGAGTTTAAATGTTATGGGTATACAGATTAATACATTTTCACAAACTTAATGACTAATTTAATCATTGCTGAATTAATTGTTTTTCTTTCATGCTCTCCTACAGAACCAAGGGAAGCACATTCACCTTCCTTTCCTCATTCTCCGTCCAGCTAGGATGGAACAGCAGACAAAAATGCGTAGAAACATGGGAGTATATAGTTAATTATAAATCTATAAGCTACCAAGGCTCTCCTCAATACCTGTTATCAATTATTGACTTCATGAATTCTAGGTGTAAAGTATCCGGAAACCCTATAGGTTGTGAGAGGCTGCCTTCCAGGAAGCAGAACACCTGTATGGTCTCAGCTTTGGAGGAATCTTCTCTTTCTTGATAGTCATCATAGGAGAACTCAGGTATCTAGTACAGTAATGGAAACATAAGCCGGAAGTAGGAAGTAGAAGTTTAGATGAATGAGAAAGAGAGGTGAGGGATACATCCCCAGTACAAAAGGTCATCAGCAGGTCAACCTATTCCTCAGCTACGCCATTCCTCTATCTTCTAATAAAGACAGCATAGCTGTTTGTCATATGCAGCTCATGCAGACAAAAGACACAGTGATTTAAATATTGAGGAACGTGTGTGGCAGTCCTTTCAGACCCTTAAGATCTTATTTGATTACAACCAGTCTGAGTTCCCTTCTCATGAAAGAGTTTGTAAGGAGAGAGCTGGTTCCTCTATTAATGGAATTTTCATTTGTTCTCACAGATTTCTGAAGTCGAGAATGCTGGCTAGAAATAACTCCTTAGTGACCGAATTTATTCTTGCTGGATTGACAGACGATCCAAAGCTCCAACAACCCCTCTTTTACCTGTTTTTAATGATCTACATTATCACCGTGGTGGGCAACCTTGGCTTGATCATGCTCATTGGTCTAAATTCTTACCTCCACACCCCTATGTACTATTTCCTCTTCAACCTATCCTTCACTGATCTCTGTTTTTCATCTGTTTTCACCCCCAAGATGCTGATGAACTTTGTGTCAAGGAAGAATATCATCTCCTATGTCGAGTGCATGACTCAGCTGTTTTTCTTTCTCTTTTTCGTCATCTCAGAATGCTATATATTGACCTCAATGGCCTATGATCGCTATGTGGCCATATGTAATCCATTGCTGTATAAGGTCACCATGTCCCCTCGGGCTTGTTCTGTGCTAACTTTTGCTGCATATGTGATAGGATTTGCTGGAGCATCTGCTCACACAGGTTGCATGCTCAGACTAACCTTCTGCAATGTTAATATCATCAATTATTACTTGTGTGACATCCTCCCTCTCCTCCAGCTCTCGTGCTCCAGCACTTATGTCAATGAAGTAGTAGTTCTCTTTGTCGTGGGTATTAATATCACGGTACCCAGTTTTACTATCCTAATTTCTTACATCTTCATCCTCACTAATATTCTTCATATCAAATCCACACAAGGAAGATCAAAAGCTTTCAGTACCTGTAGCTCCCACATCATTACTATTTCTCTCTTTTTTGGATCAGCAGCATTCATGTATCTTAAATATTCTTCTCCTGGATCTATGGACCTGGGGAAAACTTCCTCTGTTTTCTATACTAACGTGGTGCCCATGCTTAATCCCTGGATCTACAGTTTGAGGAACAAGGATATCAAAGTTACACTGAGGAAAGCCCTGTTTAAAATCCAGAGAAGAAATGTATTTTAATTAGAAGCTGCAATAACATAAAAATATTTTTAATTTTTTTATTGAATTTTTATTGCTGTTTTTCAAAAAAGGGTTTTGTTTATAACAATGTTGCTCCTTCAGATTGTATTATGTGTGGTTTAACAGACTTGTATTATCATTTCCCTTATAGCTGATCTTGTCTCATGTTTTGCCTCTATATCTCTTGAACCCTGTATCATTTACTTAAGAAAATGTTTATAAACAGAACACATATACTGACCTTTTTTCTTTTTTTGTTTTCATTCATCCCACAAGAAGCCGTAACTCTGTTAATGGTAGAAGCAAAGCAGTACACATTTCATACCAAGCTGCAGTTACTTTTTTAAAACACATACACACACACACACGCACACACACACACAGAGTCCTTGTTTTTAGATGCTTACATTGTTAATTCCATGTTAGCACTTACAATGTCATTACTATTGTTCTTCAGGGTTCAACCTGCCTTTGCTCTCAATACATTTACTTGTGACATGACCAATTCTATGTCCTTAACTTCCACACTTGTTTCATCAACCTCTTCTTTTCTCTCCTCTTGTACAGTTGGAGTCTGTGCGTTTTCTTGAATGTTTGAGACAGCTTCACCTTGAACTTAGAATTCTTCAGCAACTGCTAGCTGTGCTTGCTGAGATAAATCCTCGGTCTTGGCTTCTCAAAAAACTATGTCAGTATCTGAAGCTGGGCTCTTGTAGACATCAGGTTTTGTGATGACAAAGAGGATATTCTTAGATTTCCCTATAGTGACTCTATGACCCCCGTATTTGTCGTAGACCCAGTTTGGACCTAGCCTACGGTGCCTTCTTTTTACTCCAGCTCTGTTTTGCTTTAATGACTGGCTCTTCATCAATTCCAGTTGCTGCTGACAGTTGGGCTTGTGTGGTTGCCTGTTTGGAATCTTGTTCCTCAATCTCTGGTACTATTTCATCACTGTCAGATTTTGTTCCAGACCCTGTCTCAGCCTTGGGCTGTGGCAACTTCTACTCTGTAGTGGGACAGTTTCTGTGGCTTCACCAGGCATTTCTGTGTGGAGACTGTGGAACCATGATGTCAGCAGAAAAAGCTAGGCTGACTTTTTTTTCCCCATTATATTTTGTACTTGGGTCTCCTGGGCTATTCCTAATCTAGACGAATGTGGTGAATTTCATAAGGCATAGAACGTTAAAATTACAGCTTGCTCACCTAAACACAGAAACACCAAATATTATAGAAGCATTTTCATTCTTATTAATATTATTTCTGGTATAGCCAACAAGATTCAGAGCAATGTCTTCATTAGAAACTATCTATATAGTTTAAAATATAATCAGATCTCCCTGATCTTGTCCTTTTGTTCTATTTTTTCCACCAACTTTCTTTTCATTTTATGTCCTTTCTTGTTCCCTTTGAGAATGGCAAAATTCGTACCACACATCACTTGTGTTTGAGAGCCCTTATCAGCCCAGTTCATTTAATATTGATGAGAATACATATAAATTTACCTTTTATTGCTAAAGATAGCATCAACAGAGTATGATTAAAGGAATACTACATATATATCTTAGGATTCTAAAGGGGGAGGTAACTTGTTTATTACAAAACTTGGATCAATTGCCATTTAATAACATAAAATATTTTTAAAATAACATATAGTAGTTCTTACTTTAGAATTTATCATTTAGATGTAAATGTTGCATGTTAAGTTAGAAAAAATATGTTAGGCATTGTTTTACTTATCTAATAAAATTTATCATTAAAAAGTATATATTAATAGTAACAAACTGTATTCCTAGCAACATTTTGTGAGCTTATTTAAACCTGTCTCTTAGTCCAGTCAGGCTGCTACAACAAAATACTATAGACTAATTAAACAACAGAAATTTACTTCTCACAGTTTGGAGGCTGGCAATCCAAGTCAGGGTGCCAGAATGAATGGGGGAGGGCCATCTTCTGGGTTGCACAAGTCTCATTATATCCTCACGTGGTGAAAGGTGCTAGTAATCTCCCTGGGACATTTTTTATAAGGCACTAATTCCATTCATAAGGATTCTATCCTCATGACTTAAGCACCTCCTAAAAGCCCTACCTCCTAATATCATCACCTTTGAGGGTTAAGGTTTTAAAATTTGACTACAGAGCACCTGTCTCATCAATAAGATAATAAACATATTTAAAGTAGATGCTATTTCCTATAATTTCCCTATTTCTTTAATGCTTTTCTTGTTTTATATTTGGAATATTAGATATATTTAGAGGACAAGAAATACTTGTTGAATTGTGTTATATTCATTGAATAACAACAATAAATTTTATTGTTATAAACAATATTTAATAAAATATAATAAGAATAATAATAAAGAAAGAAAACAGAAAAAAACTTTGGGGTATAATTTCTTTTTGGAGGGTGGACTGTGGCAGCCGTAAAGAGGTGTTTCTCACTCTCCTTCAGCAGAAGCAGCTGTGGGGAGCATCGTTAACTGAAAGTCTATAGCTGATATTCCTTTGGCTCCACTATAGTGTTCAAGCAGAGTACCTGCTTAACCTGTGATGTCCCCAGCCAATGGCTTTGCATGGTGAGTCATACAGGAGCTGGCCTGTTCTGTGTAATAGTATTCCCTTCTAATAAGAAATATTTACTTAGGGGCTTCCTATCATCCTGAGTGACTTTTTAGGACTTTATTGTGGTCTGTGATTCTTCTACTCAATCCTTGCTTCTCTCTCTCCTTTCTTAGGTGTCAAACTTTCATCTTGGTCTGCATGCCTTTATCACTGACTCCCACTCTCTCTCATTTTATCCTTCACAGGCATTTATCACAATAAATGTCTTGCAAGTCTAATCATTTCTTGGTATCTGCTTCTTGGGTAACTCCAAATTACACAGAGGACTTACATAACTAATTCTCAAACTTAGTATAAGGCTCTGATAATCCAGACAGATAGGTTTTTATTTTTTTATTTTTTTAATTTTATTTATTTATTTGTTTTTTGGTGAGGCAACCCTTGGTTGACCTCACAGATTGCAAGGACCTTGTCAGTTTATGATCCCTTATTTTTTATTTTTTACACCTACAGCACCTGGTCTTCCTAGGTGGTCTCCCATTCAAGTATACTAACCAGGCCTGACTTTGCTTAGCTTCCGAGATCAGACAGGATCGAGCTTGTTCAGGGTGGAATGGCCGTAGACAATCCAGATAGATAGGTTTTTAAATAAAGATAGACAATTAAATTATGATAGAGAATAGAAGATTCAGAAACAAATCTTCTCTTATACAGTCAAATGATTTTTTGGCTAAGAAACAAAGTAATTTCATTAAAGAAGAGCTTTTAAGCAATTGACGCTAGACATATTACCTATTTATGAGAAAACAATTAAACTGGATCTCTACCTCACACTATAAACAAAAAATTAATAGCAAATAAAACAAAACCGTATACATAAAGCTTAAAGATAAATCTTCTAGAAAAAAAACATAGGAAAGCATGTTGGTATAGGTGCAGAGTTCTTAGACATAGTCTAAAAAGCACTACACCCAAAAGAAAAACAGATAAAGTAAATTTCATTAAAATTAGAACATCTATTTATCAAAAAAAATTCATAAGAAAGCCACAGACTTGAATAATATTTACAATATATCTACCTGATAAGGGTAATGTATCCAGAATATATAACAAGTTAAAAATTAAATGCTGTCTCAATAATAAAATAAATTATAAGTAGGCAAATGATTTGACACATCTCAAAGGAAGGCGTGCAAATGGACTAACAGTGCACTGGAGTTCACTTGTCTTCACAACCTCAACAGCATTTGTTATCTCCTGTTTATTTGTACTTATTTTCATCATAACCATTCTAACAGTTGGGAGATTATATCTCAATGTGGTTTTGATTGGCATTTCCCTGATGATTAATGATGTTTACCACCTTTTCATATAGTTTTTGGCCATTTGCATGTCTTCTTTGGAAAAAATGTCTATTTGAGTCCTTTGCCCATTTTTAAATCAGATTATTTTCTGGTTTTTTGTTAGAGTTGAATGAGGTCCTTATTTGTTTTAGATATTAATGCCATATAAAATATATGGTTTGCAAATATTTTTTCTCTTCTGTTGGTTGCCTTTTCATGTTGTTGATGATTTATTTTGCTGTATAAAAGTGTTTTTAGGTTGACGTATATCCACTTGATTTTTCCCTTGTTGATTATATATTTGGTGTTATATCCAAAAAAAATTATCACCAAGAAATATGTCAAGGAGCTTTTTCCTTATGTTTTCTTCTAGGAGTTTTACAGTTTCAGGTCTTAGGATTTAAAAAAAAAAATTCTCTTTTTTTTTTTTAATTGAATGTTTTCACACAAAACATTGTATAAATTTAAGGCGTACAACGTGTTAATTTGATACAATTATATATTGTAATACAATTGCCATTGTAGCAATATTTAGCACCTCTATCATATTATATAATTATAGTACAATATTGTTGTCTATATTCATTGTACCCTGCATTAGATCTCTATGGCTTATTTAATACTTGTTGCAAGTTTGCACCCTTAAACAACATCAGTCCCCTGCAATATTGTGATTTTTAAGAAATGTATATTTGGTCATTCAGAAGACCAAAATATATTTTTCATATATAGTTTGTCTTTGTCTAAAATTCCTGGCTCACAGCTCCCAGAACTATTGGAATTTCCTAAGCGTTAAGAGTGAAAAAGGTGTCTTTTATTTTGTTAATAAGATGGCTTTGGGAAAGCAAGATAGAATAGGGGCTGGTTGCCAAAGGAGCCAACCAAGCAATTAGAGAGCTGTAACTTTCAGTCCTACCCCTGGATCTCCTGGCAGGAGAAAGGGGCTGGAGGTTGAATCAATCACCAAAAGGCCAATAATTTAGTCAATCATGCCTATGTAATGAAGCCCACATAAAAACCTCAAGAGAATGATGGGATTTGGAGAGCTTCCAAGTTGGTGGAACATATGAAGATTCAGAGAGAGTGGCATGCTTAGGG